CAAGATCACAATCTCAGATGCCTACTCAGACAGGCAGTGGGCATGAGTGGAGCACTTGGGTGCAAGCTCCAGGGAGCGGTGTAGCTGTGGTGGGCTGTAGGCAGCTGCTCTGGCAGTCTGGAACAGAACCCACAATATCTCTGAGATATGCCTGTAAATAGCTGGATTTTTATGTGAAAGTTGCTAACATTCAAAAGTGAGCAACAGAGGACAACCAAGATGGTGCAGTAGGTAAACACTGTGCTTACCTTCTCTCATAACCACATCAGAATTATTATACAACTAACAAAACAGCCATTATCAAGAATCGCTTGAAATGAAGCTGAACTGAAGCCTTTCAACTAAGGATGCACAGAAGAAGCCACCTACAGAATGGTAGAAAGAGCGGAGATGCGCGGAACAGGCTGATCCCACATTCACGTGTGACCATTAAAGATGGGGAGGGATATTTCGGCTGTGGAGGTTCCCCCCTTGGCCCCCTCAGAGGAGCGAGAGGTTCCAGCCCCACCCCAGCGCAGGGTTCCAGTTCCGGGGAGAGAAGTCCCCATAATTTCTGATTATGAAAACCAGCGGAGATTGTGACTGAGTGAGACTGAGTGTGGTTGCACTCCCAGGCACTCCTCTTAAAGAGACTGCGTGTGGACTCACCCATCAATGGAATCCAGCTGAGCTCCAGCACTGGGGCAGCAGCTGGAAGGGCAGCAGGGACATGGAGGGGGGGTGAACTGAGTTGTCTGGCTTGAGAGGGGCTGGAGAGGTGGCTTTCTCCTGGATGGGGGAGCTGGTAGATTCCATTGTTTCTTTGCTGAGCCATTCCCCTTCCCCACTTGTGGATGCGGGCGGCTGCCATATCTGAGTCTCTGATGTTGGTTTGCAGCGTCCTGGCGATTCAAGACCCAGCCCTGCCCAACTTTTGGGATACCCAGACCGCTTCCTGTGGCATTTCGTGCAGAACACCTGCCTTGGCTCGAGCTGCAGACTTTCCTAGGGTTGCTCAAAGGTTCACAGAACCCAGACAAGCAGCATCTGGCTTGAGCGTGTCCTGTACCTCTGGCTGCGCAGCACTAGGCGCAGCACTAGTGGCAGCCGGCCTTGGTTTGCAGCTTGGCCTCTCAAGGCACTTCCAAGCACAGCACAGGCAGCAGCCATCTGCAGATTTCTTTGTGGCTCCCGCTGGGTGGCCCCGGGTAGGGCATGGGCTGTGGCTGAAGTTGACCTACAGCAGATCCCCTCCAAGGTGGTCCCCAGTGGCCAGCTTCAAAATGAGCTGGAGCATTACTCAGCCACCTCCAAGTACAACGCACCCAAGGTGCGGATCAGGCAGACACCAGAGCCCGGCTGAGGCAGATTCTGCTCTGTAGGATCTGCACCTGCACAACAACTCTTCCACTATAGTCAAGGCCAGTCCTCACAACTAGTGAGCCCAAGGATCAACCCCTCCCATTGATGTACAATTACCAACCAAAGCTCAACTATAAGAGGAAGGCACACACAACCCACACAAGGGACACACCTGGAGTGCATGACTCAGGGGACCAGAAAGACTGTGCCACTGAACCCCACAGCACACCTACTACATAAGGCCACTCTACTAAGACCAGAAGACATAGCAGCCCTACCTAATACATAGAAACAAACACAGGGAGGCAGCCAAAATGGGGAGACAAATATGTCCCAAATAAAAGAACAGAACAAAGCTCCAGAAAAATAACTAAGTGAAATGGAGATAAGTAATCTGTCAGGCGCAGAGTTCCAAACACTGGTTATAAGAAATCTCAATGATATCAAGGAGAACTTCAAAGAGAGATAGGAAGCATAAAAATGGAGATGGAAACCATGAAAAAGAACCAGTCAGAAATAAAGGATACAATAATGGAAATGAAGAATATATTACAGGGAATCAACAGTAGGTTAGATGAAGCAGAGAATCCAGCCAGCGATGTAGAAGATAAGGTAGCAGAAAACACCCAACCAGGATAGCAAAAACAAAAAAGAATACAAAAAATTGTGGAGAGTTTAAGGGGCCTCTGGGACAATATCAAGCATACCAACATTTGCATTATAGGGGTACCAGAAGAAGAGAGAGAGAGCAAGGAATTGAAAACTTATTTGAAGAAATAATGACTGAAAACTTCCCTAACCTGGTGAAGGAAATAAACATACAAGCCCAGAGAGCGCAGAGAGTCACAAACACAATGAACCCAAACAGGCCCACACCAAGACACATTATAATTAAAATAGCAAAGGTTAAAGACAAAAAGAGAATAATAAAATCAGCAAAAGAAAAGCAGTTAGTTACCTACAAGGGAGCTCCCACGAAACTTTGCAAGCCAGAAGGGACTGGTATGAAATACTCAAAGTGATGAAAAGCAATGACATACAACCAAGTTTACTCTACCCAGCAAAGCTGTCATTTAGAATTGAAGGACAGATAAGGAGCTTCCCAGATAAGAAAAAGCTGAAGGAGTTCATCACCACCAAACCAGTATTACAAGGAATCTTAGAGGGACTTCTTTAAGATAGGAATGGGGTTAAGGATGGGTGAAAGGGGAAGGAATTAAGAAGTACAAATTGGTTGTTACACAGTAGTCATGGGAATGTAGGGAATAGCATAAGGAATATAGTCAATAACATTAAGTGTGGTGCCAGATAGGTATTAGATCTATCAGGGTGATAGAAAGGAATGGGGTTGGGGGCAAAGTGAAAAAGGTGAAGGTATTAAGAATTACAAATTGGTAGTTAATACAGTATGGAGAATATAATGAATAATGTTGTAAAGATCATGTAAGGTGCCAGATGGTCACTGGACTTATCAGTGGGATCACTTCATAGACTGTGTCCAATGCGCTAGACACCTAAAGCTGAAATAGAATAATGTTGATTAGAATAATTTAGAACTATAACTAAATATATAGGTATATATAGTCATGGGATGTAGACTACAACAAGGGAAAATAGTCAATGGTATTGTAACAGCTATGTAAGTTGTCAGAGGGGTAGTAGCTTGGGGAGTGGGTTATCACTTTATGAGGGGTTTAAATGTCTAACTATTACATTGCTTTGTACATCTGAAACTAATAAGAAATTTTAAAAAGTAAAAATAAAAATAAATAATAAAGTGAGAAGGAAAAAAAAGGGAGCAACAAATTGTGTTTAAAAACACACATGCAGGGCTGTAGAGTGGCTCAGTTGGTTAAAAGCGAGAGCTCTGAGCAACAGTGTTACCAGTTTGATTCCCACATGGGCCAGTGAGCTGCACCCGAGCTGAGCCGCTGCTGAGCTGGTGCTGAGCTGCCAACAGGTGGCACGGTGGTTCAGCTGGTGAGAGCACGTGCTTCTAACAACAAGGTTGCCGGTTTGACTCCCACATGAAATGGTGGGATACGCCCACCTGCATCTAAGATTGAACAGAGCACCTTGAACTGAGTTGCCCTGGGCTGCCGATGGGTGGCCGGATTGCTCAGTGGTTAGAGCATGTGCTCTTAGCAACAAGGTTTCTGGTTCGACTCCTGCGGGCTATGCCCACCTGCAACTAAGATTGAACACAGCACCTTGAGCTGAGTGGCCATGAGCTGTTGATCAGCGGCTGGATGGCGACTGGATTAGGAGCTGAGCTAGCTGCGCCCTATACAACTAAGATTGAAGGACAACAACTTGGCTGTTCCCCTTCCCCAGTTCCCGAACACTGTTCCCCTCCCCAATTCCCCCAATAAAATCTTTAAAAAAACCCCCACACATGTGACTGTGCCGGGCAAAACAGAACCAGTTTGCTACCTATGATCGAACCCAGGACTTTCTTTTGGCAGATGAGGAATTCGGGCACCAGAGATTCACCCTGTGCATAGGGTCACACTGAAAATTAGTGGCGTATCCAGGACTAAAACCCAGTTTCTGCCCCTTGGACCAGTGGTTTTTGTGCTACTCTATATGCTGACTCTGCAGGGGATTCTGTCTCAAAACTATCACCAAAAGGGCATTGAAAAGAAAATATAAGCAGAACCTTTACTGGGCCAATTTTAAAGCACTGTCTCAGGGAACCACTTTGTTGTCCTTCAGTAGCAAGCTTATTTTCTTCCTTTGCCCGTATACCTTGTGAACTGATCTTATTCAGGCTCTTATTTCAAAGCTGAGGAAAGATGAAAATGGCATTAAAAGGTCATGACATTTCCCAGTCCTCTACCAGCTTTAAAGGACTAGCTTTACGTACTTGATATTTGATCATATATCTGTTAAGTCAGCTTCTGTTTAGCATCTACCAGCTGTGGTTGTCTTACCAAAAATCAACTTGTAGTTTTATTGGGGCTTGTTTAAGTGTAATTTAAGACCAGCTCATAGCTTCAGAATCCTTCTCATGTATTCTTCATTATTTGTGGGCCACTTGATATAAAGTGAACATCATGCAATTCATTCCTTGATTATTGATTTCTGATGGGTTGTAGATTGGTGTCTTCCTGTATCTGTGAAAACTAAAAGTAGTATCTCAAAGACCCAGTAGTGGGGTTCTTAGTGATTAGGTCAGGACCCTCTTTTGCTATTAAGGGAACAGTTTTGGAAGACTATACTAATTATGATGGAAACATGATCTCTGTAACCCTGTTGCCAGAGTTTAAGTCCCCACTCTGCCATTTTCTATATTATGGAACCTAGGATGTGTTATTTAATCTCTCTGTGTTTAGTTTCCTCATTTGTAAAGTGGGGACAGTTATAGCATCTAATTCGTAGGGTGTGTGGGAGGGTCATGTGAAGCACTTAGAGTTGGGCCTGCACTAGGTTTCAATGAATGATAATTGTTGTAATTACAGGGATGATTAAAAATGCCAGTTAGATTATAATTGACAAGTCATCAAACATTTATTGTGTGAAACATGCCAAATGATATTAAAACTAGAAGGACTAGATTTTCTGTTTTTCCTGGTTAATAATTGTTTTATAGCATATGTTTCTGAATGATCATATTTTCAAGAATGTAAAAAAAAGTATATTTCCATTGTTTTCTGTAGACAGCTCTAGCTCTGGCTATTGCTCAGGAGCTGGGTAGTAAGGTGCCTTTCTGCCCCATGGTGGGGAGTGAAGTTTATTCTACGGAGATCAAGAAGACAGAAGTGCTGATGGAGAATTTCCGCAGGGCCATTGGTGAGTATCACATTTGTGGGAGGGGGAAGCTCTCGCTTGCGCGGTGCATTCTTGTGGTTGTGAAAATGCCTTGATAACTTGTATTTGTTGCACTGTTCTTTTTTTTTTGCACCATTAGTGTTATCTTTGCAAACAAAAGAAAAACCTAGCTTTTTTAATTGAAGTACTTCAGCAATTAGCAAATATGGGCCCCAGCTATGAGGCTAGGGTTCTTCACCTGAAAAAATAGATGTGTCTATAAAGTGATTTTTTAAAAACAAGTCAGATTTTCCTGGCAGTCTCATTATGCTTTTAGAGATGACTGTCTACTGAAAATATTTTGCACTAAAGCCAAAAGCATTATGTGTCATGCTGCCAGAGTGCCCCTGGTCCTGGATGTTGAGCCAAAACTGTGGTCTCTCAGAAAATGAGGATACTATTGGGTTATCAGAAAAGTCATGATGCATTTTTGCAACGAAAAACAGAAAAAATATGTCATGACTTTCCCCACAACCCAATATTTGGTCACTGGCCGAGCTTTGAGGCTGGTGGTGCTAGCTTCATAAGGTGTGGAGCTACCATATTGAGTTTTTCTTATGTGCCAGGCCCCTGCATTGACTACAGCCTTTCCCTCCCCCAAGAGGAAGCTCTCAGTCTTCATTTACAATAGCATCTTATAAAAGTCTCAGTAAGTTCAATAACTTGCCTACAGTGACCCAACTAGTAGCAGAGCCCTAGTTTGAACCTAATCTGTCTGATTCTAGAACCCATGCTCTTAAGATCTGCTGTGAGGAGAAAATGGCCTCTCTCCCAGCTAGTACTGTGGGTTAGTTCCCTGACCCCATTTCTGCTGGCCGAGCTCTGGGAAAAATCTCAGCTTCCCTTACACCTACTTGTAGAAATAGCTGATTTCTTTTAAGCTGTTAAGAAATTCTTTTTTTAAAGATTTTATTGGGGAATTGGGGAAGGGAACAGTGTTGGGGAATTGGGGAAGGGGGAACATTGTGTTTTTCCAGGTCAAGTTCCAAGTCAAGTTGTTGTCCTGCAGTCTTAGTTGTGCAGGGTGCAAGCTCAGCTCCAAGTCCAGTCACTGCTTTCAGTCTAATTGCTGGGGGGGTAGGGGTGGTGGTGGAGGGTGCAGCCCACCATCCCGTGCGGGAGTTGAACCGACAACCTTGATGTTAAGAGCATGTGCCCTCACCAGCTGATCAGCCACCCATTGGCAGCGCAACTCGGGCGCAGCTCACTGGCCCATGTGGGAATTGAACCGGAACCCTGTTGCTCAGAGCTCATGCTCTAACCAACTGAGCCACCCGGCTGGCCCAACTGTTAAGAAATATTTAATGTGTGTTTGCACATGTAGGATTCTATCACTACAATATAGCTGCTGAGTCATGGGTTATGAACACTTGTCAGAGTGCCTGTACCATTCTTCAGTCCCTTTGGTTGTCAAAACAAGGCAAGTATTCTGAAGAAGGAAGTTTACTAAACTTCAAGGTAATTATGAAAGTTTAAGAAAGAATAGATTTGTCTATCCCAGGATCCTTGCCTCACAGCAGCGAAAGTCTAATTTAGGAATAAGATCCTATAGGGCCTTTAGGCCATGGTTTAGGGCTTTGGCTTTTTTGCTGAGTGAAAGGAGAAGTAATTGGAGAATGGCTTTGGTTTTGTAAGAGTTTCTCTTGCTGGAGTATGGAGAGGGGACAGTAAGAGCGAGGGTACAAGCAGAGAGATCATGATGAGTCTGAGCAAGAGGTGGTGGTGGCTTTGACCAGGGTGGTGGTGGCAAGTGGTTAAGTGTTTGGATTCTGGATATAGTTGGATGAGAGAGCTGACAGGATTTCCTGAAGAATTAGATGTAGGAGCTGAAAGAAAGAGAGAGAGAAGGTGATGATGTCAGCCTCTTCTCCCAGGTTTTGTCATTTTGGTAGATGGGAAGGAGCAAATTGGGTGTTCATTAAATGTCTACTGTGGATATATAGTGGGCAGTGTTTATCTTTGTTACCCCAGTTGCTGGCACATAGTGGGTGCTCAGTGCAGTTTTTATGAATTAGATAAGGAGGTGGATTTTAAAGCAGGAAAAAAACAGAAGCCTTTAGCTAAAATAAGATAGCCCTTGGTCCATGTCTGGCAATTGACATATTTTGTTTGATTTACAGTGCTTTTAAAAATAAAATTTGAATTACATAGTTGCCAGTATTTAGAGCTTGGGAGATGTCATGTAAAACCCTTCGTTCCGGCTTCTTGAAAGCAGCTTTCATCCCACTCAGCAGTGGTTGGTCGAAGCTACCAGTAAGTGGGTGCTCTCCTTTTTAGAGTGGGCTGGCACTCCAGCTTGCTTTAGTCTCTGTGAGACTTGCTCTGCTTCTTGATGTTCCCTGCCAGGTTCTGGTAAGCTCTGGGGTTTGGGACTCTTGTTCTAAACCACAGACACTGTGAAGTGTGTCTATAGGCTGTTTTGTGTTACTTTGAATATGGACTTTTTTTTAACTATAAAAATATTTTACTGGAAATTGGATTTTTGATGCCTATTTTAAACTGAAATATACATATAGAAAAGTATATAAATTTATACTTTTATATACCTATAATTTAACAATTAATTATGAAGTAAATGCTTGTGTAGTCACCAGTTAACTCAAAGTACAGAGCACAGCCAGCCCTGCAGATGTCACTCAAGTTCTCCGTGGTCACAGCCCCTCTCCAATGTGTACCCCATAGAGTGCGAGAGTTGTGTGACAGTGGCTTCTGTCGTCATCATAACCCTGTACATCCTTCTGTGTATCCCTAGGCAATGTGGCTGAACATTGCCCTTTTAAACTTTATCTAAATGGAACCTACTCTAGGTGTCGTGTCTTGCTTCTTTAACAACATTCATATTGGTAAGGTTCAGCCTGTGTTATTGACATGAATTGCTGTTGTTGGACTTTACATCGTTATCTGGAAAAACAGTGGAAATGGCTCATAGGACCCTCTTCAGGGTTTCAAACCTTTTTGCCATTGGGGTTTTTCCATATTAGAACAGAGGTGGCTTGATGGTGAGGACACCCAAACCATACTTTTTAAAAGTATAATGAACATGCGCCATGGATTTTATTTAACTAATTAATTAACGAGATAAACAGAAAGATGTTACAACTGGTTAAAATATCTGAGTACTTTTAAAATGCATTTTTATTCATTTAAAAAATACTTGTCTGACATTGATAAAATCTGACAAAACTGACCTTTACATGAATGCATGTGATTAGGTTGCTTAAAGGTAACTTAAATGCTTTAAAATTTGAAAAAATAGATATAAATTTCCTGGTCATCAGTTTTGTGATTTGCTATTTGGGGGTGGGGGTGGGGCTGTGTACTTCTTTTGATGGCAGCCAGATGAAGAGACGTTTCTTGATCCTGCCACAGAGTAAAAAGGCAGGCCATTGACAATCTTTAAAAAGGAGCCCTGCCCATCTTCCCCGGCCTTTGAATTCCTGTGAAGTTGGCAGAGCCGGTGGGGAGAAAGCAGTAAGCTGACCACAAATAAAAAGCAAGGAGTCTGTGCTGTTTCCTTGATGTGATGAAGGTCCCTGTCAGGGATTTAGAAACCTGAGCCAGCAGATGAAACCTGTGTCATTTGCGTTGTCGTTGCCAGAGATAGCGCCAGCTCAGCCCCTTTCTTGGCTAACAGCCTGTTTCATTGTCTGTCAACCACATCCCCTGCCTGCTTGTCAGCACAGAGCAACTTCTAAACAAATATGGGGACTAGTGAGAGATGGAAATGCTTTTCTTCCCCCCACTCAAGGAATTTCATGTCACAGACGTCTAACAGTAAATATAGAGAAGCATTCCACTTGAAGGAATGTATCTTTGAGATATAAATGTTTTGATTAAAAAAATAACCAAGGTTTATTGAAAAAGTATAGAATTTTTCAAGTTTGTCACACTCTTTTGATACATTCATGTTGTTTAGAAAATTTTTGTCTTGATATCCAGGAACTAAGAATTTGGTAAGGTGAAAATGAAATGCAACCTCTGTTTTGGGGCTATTCCAAAACTTCCATTTGTAGGCTATCAGATTGAATAAAGGTAGAGTAAAAACTCCTTAACTTTAATATCTGAGAGAGTCTTTGTCCTGATTGGGTTTCTGGGGAAAGAAGTCAGCCTACCCAAATGATAAGATAATAATCACATTTAAAAGTGGGAAGTGATTGACACCATTGACAGTGTTTCTTTTTGCTGTTGGAGTATTTCCATATAAGAACAGAGGTGGCTTGATGGTGAGGACACCTACACCACATCAGGGCTTCCTGCCATCAGAAGTAGTTTATGTCTGGGCCGGTTGAGTGGCGCGTTGGTTAATGGCTGGCTTGGGATGCCAGAGGACCCCAGTTCGGATCCCACATATGAAGGCCAGTGACACTGCCCTCTACAGCTAAGATGCTGAACAACAGTTCAATCTGGAGCTGGGATGCCATGAGTCGCCCGCCATGGTGTAGGCTGCAGCCCCTGTGGCAGTGGGTTGCCATGGGCTACCGTGTGTGGCCGGCAGCCACAGTCAGCGCCGTCCAGAAGCCAGTGAGTGATCTGCCTCGCCCGGGAAGAGCGCAATGATGGTGCCAATTTGGGCCAGTGAAGCAATGTCCTCCACAACTAGACTGAAGAACAAAAGGACAGCAAGTTGTCTGTTCCCCTTCCCCCCAATTCCCCAGCGCTGTTCCCATCCCCCAATTCCCCAATAAAAATCTTTAAAAAAAAAAGAAAAGAAGAAGTAGTTTATGTCTCCATATTGTGAGTAGAACAGAGTTTTTCATTATCCTTTAGATCAGTGGTTCTCAGCTGTGGCTGTACATTGGGATTAGCTGGGGAGCTTTAAACTAATGAAGATGGCGAGGTCCTAACCCCTGAGATTTGGAATAAATGGTCTGCGTGTGGCCAGAAGCATGAGGCATTGTAGAAGCCAGTCAGGTGATTCTAAAGGGTGAGAACCATGACTGTAGACTCCAGCTGAGGCTTAGAGCAGTGTTCCCTAAACTAAA